TTGCAGATGTATTGTCCACAAGATGTGATTTCTTTGGTACTATTGTTTCTTGCGAAATACTATTGTCTCTTGCAGATATGTTGGGAATGATTTTAAAAGATATGTTACTGACCCTATCAGGAAGCCTATCATGGATGTCCTTGCGAAAGACCCAACTTTACTTCCCAACTATAGAGTAACTGATGGTTTGCTTTTCTTGCTAGACCAAACTGAACAAAGATTGTGTATTCCCCACAAGGAAGAAATTAAAAGTCCACTAATTAGGGAATGTCATGACACTGAGGGACATTTTGGTTTCAAGAAAACTTACGTTGAGGTTAGGTAACGTTTTGAATGGAAGGGATTAAAAGAAGACGTCATTTTGGTTTCAAGAAAACTTACGTTAAGGAGTAACGTTTTGAATGGAAGGGATTAAAAGAAGACGTACTAACTTATGTTCGTACATGGCTGGTGTGCCAGAGAAACAAACCTTCGCATGAGAATCCACTTGGTCTTCTGAAACCATTACCGATTCCTAGAGAACCAGGTGAGTCCATTTCGATCGATTTTACGAGTCTCACCAAAAGCCACAATGGCAACAGTCAAGTAATGGTTATTGTGGATTGTTTCTCTAAATACGCCATGTTTATTCCCTTACCTACAGAAGCGAAAATTGAACTTGTCATCCAAAAGTTTCAGATGTGATGGGTGACTGCGTACGGTTTTCCTGAATCTATTGTGTCTAATCGCGATGTTAGGTTTACGAGTATGCCATGGCAAAAGCTTATGGAAGCATATGGCACACGACTGACCATGTTGTCAGAACGACATCCTATAACGAATGGCCAGACTGAACAGATGAACCGTTTGTGCCAACAACTTTTGCGCATGTATGTGAGACCTGATCAGATTGATTGGGATGAGAACTTACCCAAGATCGCCAGTGCATATAACATTAGTGTTCATACTGTTGCAAGGCGTACGCCTAATGCATTGCATAAAGGGTGGAAACCTAAACGTCCCATTGATGTTTTGACACGGGACCAATTTTTTAAGTTACCTCCAGGGGCCCGGGAATATGCAGTATTGTTTCAAGAAGACATAAAGAAAGTAGAGGAGAATCTGAAGAAAGCTCAGGCCCAAATGATTCAACAAGCTAACAAGCATTGCTGACCATCTACATTCAAAGAAGGTGATCTAGTCTAGGTCAAGTCCAAAGAGTTTTCATTAGAAAAAGATATGTCTCAAAAACTACTACCTGTTTATTTTGGACCCCGGGAAGTTCTCTAAGTGATTGGGGATTCGGAGGGACCGTCTTATCGTCTTGATATTCCCCCTCACCTCAAAATGTATCATGTTTTTCACGGGTCCAAACTATTACCCTATGTAGAGGGCAAAGAGCTTCCAAACAGCCCATCTATGATTCTGCCATCAATGGAAGGCAGGTATGAAGTAGATCGAATCCCAGAACATGGATTCTTTGCTACAGGAGGACGCGGACAACCACAGAAGCAGTTCAAGGTACGTTTCAAGTCGTTGAGGACAGATGGTTTAGTAAAAGAGAATTACTTGAAACTGCTCTTGACATTGTGTCTGCTTATGAATGTGGGTTAAGGTCTTGATTATTTTTGCGATGGAACTCGAAAATGGGTCAGCAGGAATGCAGTAACCCGTGTTCCGCAGCAGTCTGGGGGCCAGAAACAGCGCCCAAACGACACAGGCCAAACACGGCCTGCGCCAGGCCGTGCGACCACGCACTTCATCCCTTGGAAAGTCAAGGGTCTAAGTCAACTGTCAGGTCAAAGGAATCGCGCCCAGGCCCTTGGTCGGATACACTCCCTTGTTGTGCGCAAGTACCCAAACAGCATCGAGGCCACAAGGAATTCGATTTTCAGGCCAATCTGGGCCGTCATTTGTGTTAAGATCTCGATGGCTGAGGGATGCAGCACCTGGGGTCCAGACCCGCGTCAACGCTACATAAGTGTTGACCTCCTGGCTTCGAGGAACATTCTGTCTTGCGTCAATGCTGATTTCACGCGTTGACAACGACGCTGCGACGCTGGCTGGACACTGGCTCTACGCTGGCAACTGGGCAAACTACGGCGACGCTCTGCTGGCTTGGCATGGTGGCTGGCTTGCAATTGTCTTCTGGGCAGCTGCCACGCGCCGCCGCTGACGTGGCCACTGCCACGCGCCGCCGCTGACATGGCTGCTGCCACATATATTATTATTGTTGACGTGGCGAGGCTACGCGACTGGCATTGTTGTCCTGTTTCGATGACATTCGGGAGGAGATCATGATTGTGGGGCGATAGTGGATACGTACCTGGTTATCTTGACGTCGACATTGCTCCAGCTCGCTGATGAGGACTGATTGACGTGCCACGTGGCACATTGTGTTAGAACTTCAGATTCGCGTTCAGATTATTGATTACTGAGGTGGTGATCGAGGAGGGAGCCCGAAGCAGAAGTGACTATTGTCTTCTATTTTCTTTCAGCAGGTTGATATTCCCCCTCCTCTCTCCTTCGTCTGTGTATGTTTTTCCCATTTCATTCTCGCTAGGCCTTCAAAATCGTGAAATGGAAAAATCAGTGGCCAGATCGAGTCCTTGTAAACCAAGGACCCGTTCTGGCCGCTTACTTTGCGATCTTGCGATTTTGAGGGCCTGGTGTGAGTATGCCCTAACAGCTTACAACAATTTTTGACAACTCTTTGCTCTGACAAAGAGGCATTTATTTAAAGAAAATAATGGAGCAAAATATTTTGCACTATCAGGATGATACCTATCATGAAAATAAATGGGGATATAGGGGATCTAACCCTTGTCACTTAAAATCAACGGATTTTCACAGTCAGTGGAAGGCTAAGCTCAGTGTCTAACCGGTGCCTCGCTGTCACAAATTCAACAGCCAAACCGGGTCTTACCCCTCACAAGACCCCACCCACCCTCCCCATTCATCAATTCTCCCTAGTGCACCCCTCCTCCCCCAGTCCTACCTGAGTGACTACCACTCAGGACCATCACCCCTCCATCTCGATCTTGGCAAGATGACCTGACGGGATAGCGATCGCAGGCACCACAGTTAAGCAGGATCTCCACTTTTTCTTTTTTCTTTTGCTAAGCAGGACCTCCACTCGGCCCTAGTTGACGCATATTTAGACGGGGCATGTTGTACGGGTGCTTGGTTCTGATCTCCCCCCTCTGGCCCGCCGCCCCCCCCCCCCCAAAACAAACAAACATAGTACTGGCCATTATTTGAACTCAATCTACATACTAGTGTGCAATTTCTACTTCAAGGAGTCAAAAATACTATGTCGCCGGGGCGGACGTCCAGGACCGGTTGTTCAAGTTGTCCGATTGGACAACTCCTTGGGACTGGACAAGTTGTCTCGCCCCCTATGAAAAGCAAGGGGGGACCAGTTTCATTCTACATGGCTGTGTGTGGGACCCAGCATGTAGGGGCGGTAGAGGTCTACCAGGGCAGGGCCCACACAGAAATATTTTGGGCCCAGTAGGTGCTCAAATTTGGAAAAACAAATGCCCAAATCTGGGTCGAAGATCGGCAGCCAAGTTTGGGCCATTTTGAAATTCGAAATTCGCGCAGGTCTGCCCCCTCCGCAGCATGCAATTTTGGTTACCACTCAGCACGCTAGCTATTGCTTGGCGCCAGCGGCGGCAGGAGGCCTCCCCACACTGCCATCTCAAGCGCTTCCAGGTGAATGACTCCCATCGTCCTCCTTCCAACACCTCTCCCTCCCTCCCTCCTCCTCCTCCTCCTCCTCGTCGTTCTCGTCCTCCGCCAGAGTGTCCTACATCGGGAGGAAGCAGGAGACGAAGATGACAAGGGGTTGTGGGGTGCTGCGGCGGAGGTGCAGGACGTGGCTGCGGTGGCGGGAGAGGAGAACGAATAGAAGGACGGGGATGCTGAGGAAGAGGACGAGCAGGAGGAGGAGGAGGAGAAGGAGGAGGACTTGAAGGAGAAGGGGGAGGAGCAGGAGGAAGGGATGGAGGAGGAGTAGGAGGAGGAGGAGCAAGAAGTGAAAGAGGAGGGAGAGGAGGACAAGGCGGAGCAGAGGCTAGGGTTGCAGACAAGCCGGGATGGAAGCGCGGACGCCATGTCCCTGCCTTTTTTTTTTTTTAAATCAATCAATGAATCGGTAATCAATTGGATCTTGAATCAAGTAATTGATTTTTGGATTGATTGATTTGATTGATTGGTGAAAGACAAAAAAAAAAAAAAACAGAAGAAGATCGAGGGGGGGAAGTGGGAAACTTAGGCGAGAAGGGGTTGCGGGTGTCGCGGCAGCGGTGCAAGACGTCACCATGGTGACCGGGGCAGAACAACAATTGGGAGGACGGGGACGAGGAGGAGGGGGAGGAGGAGGAGGACGAGGATGAGAATGAGGACGAAGACAAGGACAAGGACGAGGACGAGGCAAGGGAGGATGACGAGGATGGGGATTATGATGATGACAAGAAGGAAGAGGAGGAGGACGAGGATGAGGACGGAGATGACGATGAGGACGACAAGCAGGAGGAGGAGGAGGAGGCGGCGGCGGAGGAGGAGGAGGACGATGGGCAGCATGCTCTGCAGCACCTGCCACCTCCGCTGCAGCAAAATCTGCAGCAGCGCACAATTTGTACCCACCCACCCACCCAACAACAACACTTTTTCTTGCATTTTATTTTTTTTCACTCTAAATGAGCTCAAAACTTCAAAAGACAATTTCTGGGGTCTCCCCCAGAAAATTGCATTTTATTTTTTTCACTCTAAATGAGCTCAAAACTTCAAAAGACAATTTTTTGGCATTTTTCTCTAAATGAGCTCCCCACTTTTTTTTTCTCTTTTAATTTTGTGAAAAATGAGTTGTCCGGGATCACAGACAACTCCACCCTTGAACATCCAATGGAGACGTCAACCGGGGACGTCCGCCCATCAGACAACCGGTAACCTAGCAAAAATACTGTTTGTTTGTTTTTTTCCCCTCCCAAAGCGCCACAGAAAGCACATCCACCTACCTCTGACCCGTGTGCTCCTTTGAACGATTCGGCAGAGAAAGATCTCTTTGACCACTTCGAGCAGGACGCCATTCCACCCGCCAGTGAGTCGGCCAACTTGGAGAGAGCAATAACTCCCCCTCTCCCTCTGCCTTTCCTTCGACCAGTCAATGCCCATGCAGGTGCCTCCCCTACTTCCTCTGTTAGCCCCCATTTAAAACCCCCCATGTACCGCCAACAACGCAAAAAAGCAAGAGACCCGACAAAGATGAGTTGCAGAAGATTCTCATAACTTTTTCACTGAAAATTTGCAAAATTCAAAGATGACATTACTTGTAGCACCCAACAGAGTTCCCTCTCCTCAAGATGAGTCGATCCCCTGAATTGCATGCAGTTTATAATTATGTTCAGAATCCATTGGAAAAGCTACACAGAGCAGTTCATTAGATACAAGATGATCTGTTGCAACTTTGCTCGCAGAAAACAAAATGGTCGGCGACTCGTTTGTGATGCTGATGGTGATGGTGGGTACTCCCCGATGTAAAATCTCTCTCTCTCTCTCTCTCTCTCTCTCTCTCTCTCTCTCTCTCTCTCTCTCTCTCTCTCTCACACACACACACACACACACACACACACACACACACACACACACAGGTGCGCAAA